ATGCTCACACTACGATCGTTGACGAGGGCGATGTCTTGCCAGGGCTACGGTGACCGACTCGTCCCTTATGGGGGAGTCTTTTCTCATGAAACTCCCTTCGGAGCGAGAAATATTCAGTGGTTTCAAAGTGCCACGTCAGTTGCTAACGTGGCGTGCGCTCACTTCCCCTTATCCAATTAAAGTTTGACACGTGGACATTAACTTAAAATTTAAAAAAAACTAATACAAATATAATTTTTTTCTCTCTTCGTACCTTCATTGCTACCATTTAGATGTGGCCGAAGTCATGGCGACCACGGGAAGACGGAGCCGACCAAACGAGCCACCATCTCAGTCGCTGAAGCTTGTAGTTGTCAACCATCCATGGTTGAGCCACCACGAATCTCCATCTACGGTCATTCTCCGTCCAACCCTTTGTCGTTGCTTGCAGCCAAGCTCATCATCGGTAGATCAGGAGGTTCATGGTCAAGCCACCCCTCCCTCATCGCCATGACTCGCAAACAGAGCCACCCTCTTCGTCGTTGCTTGTGGCTTATCATAGGTAGATAGGGAGTTCCATGGTCGAGCCACCCCTTCGCCGTCGCTCTCGCGACCACATTCCCCCGTCACCAGATCTAGACCCATGGCCATATTTCTCAGCCTCCCTCGAGTGCCTCCTCCTCCACTTCACGACCTCCTCAGCTTCTCGGGCGGCGCAGGGATCGGATCTACAAGCATCACCGACCAGATCTTGTGCGGCGACTTGGGCGGTGGTGACAGCCAAGCTCGATTCTCAGATGGGCGGACATACGCGGAAACCAAGGCAAAGAGAAGATAGAGAGAGAAAGAAAACCCATATTCTTATTATTTTTTAATCCCACGAGAGAAGGAATACGAACAAAACTCACATGAAAATCCCTCCATCATATCGGGAGTTGCTTTCCCCTATCTCCCTTTAAGTCTTTTAAAAGTCCGGTTCAAAACCAGCTCTAATTAGATATAGACATAAAAAAAGAATGCATGTCACGTCAGTAGCAGATGGGTGTTTTGAAACCACTAAATATTTTCTCGAGAGAAAGAAGCTACTATAGAATATAGGGATAAGTGCACTACAAGTTCTAAAATTTGTCACAAAAGTGCGTTTGAGTCCTAAAACTTGCAAAAAGTTCATTTGAGTCCTAAAACTTGTCAAAATGGTTCATTTGAGTCCTAAAGTTAACACCGTTAGATTTATTAACGGAAAATGCTGACGTGGCGCTGACGTGTCATTTTTAATTATTTTTCTTGAGACACGTGGCGCCACGTCAGCAAAAATAAAAATAAAAATAAAAATAGAAAAAGCTGAAAAAAAAAACCAAAAAAAACCAAAAAAAAGGAAAAAAAAAAGAACCGGCGGTGGCCAAGCCCGGCGGCCGGGAAGGACCGGCGGAGGTCGCCTGGGCCTTCCCGAAGCCCGGCGACCTCCGCCGGCCCCGGCGAGTCCCGGCGAGGGCCGGCGACCCTCGATACGGGGAGGGCGCGACCCTCGCCCAGATTTGAGCGAGGGTCGCCGGCCCTCGCCGGGGACTCGCCCGGGCGGCGGAGGTCGCCGGGCCGGAAGGCCCAGGCGACCTCGCCGGCCCCGGCGAGTCCCGGCGAGGGCCGCCAACCCTCGATCGGGGAGGGCGCGACCCTCGCCCGAGATCCGAGCAAGGGTCGCCGGCCCTCACCAGGGGACTCGCCCGGGGCCGGCGGAGGTCGCCGGGCTTCGGGAAGGCCCGGGCGACCCTCGCCGGCCCCGGCGAGTCCGGCGAGGGCCGGCGACCTCGATCTCGGGGAGGGCGCGACCCTCGCCCGATCCGAGCGAGGGTCGCCGGCCCTCGCCCGGGGCCGGCGAGGGTCGCCGAGCTTCGGGAAGGCCCAGGCGACCTCCGCCGGTCCTTCCCGGCCGCCGAGCTTCGGCCACCGCCGGTTCTTTTTTTTTTTTTCCTTTTTTTGGTTTTTTTTCAGCTTTTTCTATTTTTATTTTTATTTTTGCTGACGTGGCGCCACGTGTCTCAAGAAAAATAATTAAAAATGACACGTCAGAGCTACGTCAGTATTTTCCGTTAGTAAATCTAACGGTGTTAACTTTAGGACTCAAATGAACCATTTTGACAAGTTTTAGGACTCAAATGAACTTTTTGCAAGTTTTAGGACTCAAATGAACTTTTTGCAAGTTTTAGGACTCAAACGCACTTTTGTGACAAGTTTTAGGACTTGTAGTCCCAGAATCATTTGTTGTAGAGACACTATGACTTAAAAATGACTAGAAAAGATTTAATTGCATTTTTGGTTCAATTCGAGTTCGATTTTGCCCAATTTTGGGAAAAACATATACCCGATTGAGATTTTTCAAAATTGATGATGTACTAATGAAATTGGATTGAAAAACATATACCCGATTAAGTGCAATTAAGTCCTAAACCCAAACCCCTAACCCCTAACCCCAAACCCCTAAACCCCAAAACCGCAAACCCCAAACCCCAAACCCTCAACCCCAAACCATCAACCCCTCAACCCTAAACCCTCTACCCTAAACCCTCAACCGTCAACCCTAAACCCTCTACCCTCTACCCTCAACTATCAACCCTCAACGCTAAACCCTCAGCCCTCAACGCTAAACCTTCAAACCCTCAACTCTAAACCGTAAACCGAAATTACATCTAATTGGACTCCGACGTCGATTTTCGAGACCATATGAGGTTATTTTTCGAGGCCGATGCCATTTTGGGGTGGCCACGCATAATTGGAGTGTGTACGATTGAAAAATGGAATTTCGGCCCGGAAGTGAAAAATTACCGTATTGCCACTCAAGACTTTGTCATCCGAATGAAGAATTCAACAACTCGAGAACTCGGCTCATACCTGGCCTTTCGTTCGAAAGCTCGCTAGTGCACATACACGCAATGTTGAAGCACGCCTCCACACCGGCTTTGACCAGGCCGTCCCCGGAAACGGCGGGATCGACCATCTCCATCTGCCGATTCTTGGCCACCATGTTTTGAGCCCAAACAACTAGCCCGACCTCCCTTCCCCCGTCCATCACCGGCAAATTGGGCCTCCGACCCGTCGCGATCTCGAGCATCAGAATACCGAAGCTATACACATCGGCCTTCACGGTCGCGGCCGTGACCCTTGACTTTATCTTACAAGACAACTCGTTCAATTTTCCTAATATATATATTTTTTCCTATTAATTCTCGATGAGACACTTGGTTCTTTTTACTGAGCATATCTCATGCAATGCTTGCTTTGACAGGACTGGCAAACGCGCCAAATTGTTCAAGGAGCTATCGGGCACTGTTGTGGACAATTCTTACACTAATAGTCCTCGTGTGGATTTAGCATTAGCAATGCGATAGAATGCATATGAATTAGTCATATGAGGTTATTTCACGCGCAATAATTAAGATTCAATTTGAACGAAAGTTCTCTTTCTTGATGATGTAGTATAGATATCGCATGTGGCTCTGATGTTTTGGGTTGGGTCGGCGACGTTCCTGGGACGTCGCACAAATTCGACCTGTAGCGGGATGTCGCGAGCTCGATGGGGGTTCGGGGCGTGACATGACACATTTATCCTCCATCAAGGTTTCGTCAATGGGTACCATTAAAAATCTGCCTACATGAACGATGAAAGGCAAACGGTATTGACATGGCGCCCACGTGGCCCCATGACTTTTGGTTTATGTTCAATTTAGCACTTGGATTATATGAAAATGTTCAATTTAACTCTTGAACTTGGATCAATAGAAGGGCAGCATTGAATATTTTCATATATTCGAGAGATTAAATTGAATATATACAAAAAAAATTTATGGATCATAATGAATAAATTAAAAGTTCATGGACTATATTACACATCGATGTAAAGTTAGGGATTACATTGAATAAATTAAAATTTCTTCTTAAAAATACTACTAATCAGTATTAATTTATAGTTATGCATAAATTGACTGTCATCAATAACCGGATTGAGTGCTAAATCTTGATGATTGCAATTTGAATCCACCCCTTTTAGTTTTTACGTGAACTGCATGACCATTCTTGTGAAACTCTTGTTAAAGAAATAAAATACATTTTGTAAATCAGCCATTTCAGTTGAGTCATCTGAATTGTCGAGTGGATAGCGGAAGAACGTTTTAGTTGAAAATAAAATAGAGTAATGTACAGAATGCGATAGATGTCTGAGTAAAAAGATCGATTGAAGCTCCTAAAATATCAATGAAGCTGCCACCAATATTTTATGTGAAGGATAGAAATGACACAGAGTGAATGCGAGATGGGAAATATGACAGATGTTTGAATTCGATGGGTTGAGGCTTCGAACATATGCACGAAGTTGTCGGCAAAACTTTCGGCAACTTAGCAAATGATATAGCAGTAGATAGCAGTTATGTTGCTATCAAATGTACAATAGCTGAGGATATCAAATTTATCATTAAATAAGACAATGAAAGTTGCGACATAGCAGTTATTTGGCCTAATTGCATGCTTAATTAAGTTTTGCATGTGATTTCTAGATGAATGATTAGGTTCATGATGCATGTCGATCGATTGGTACATTACTGGGTATGTTTATAATTAATCAGGGATGAACGATATTAATTTTCCACTTTGTGTTATCACACATAGCCATCATGTCTCCCCTTACTCTTCTAATTCAAAGAAAAGCGCCAGGATCCTAGCTCGCCAAACCCTCCAGTAGACCATACCGCGCTTTAGGGGGTGGAGTACCCCTCGCTTCACGCTATTCCTTCGATGGCCATTCCAAAGAGAGGTGCTGGGTCCTTCATCCGCATCTGCATCTTTCCAAAGACAGGGGCTCGGAAGCTAAGGTGGCAGTCCAAGACAATCCGAATATTTTTCAATCTAAGTTGGAAGCTTTGTCTTGACAAGTTCAGCAATTACTTCATATACAAATTATCTACTCAGACATTATTGACGAAGCACTTATCCCTAGAATATGTTATGGGACAAATTGAGCAAAAAGATAGGCCACGTGAACCTACCAACAATTCCATGTTTCGTTTTCTCCATTTCCCCTGACCTCAAAAACGATGATTAGACGTGCTGACTCGCTGACTCTATCCTCCTCCCTCCTTCCCAAGCTCGGCTCGGCTCTGCTCTGAAGCTCAAGCTCCGCGCCTGCGCTTCGTTGGCGAAATCGCACCGCAGCTCCCTCCCCCACCCGCCGCCGCGACAATGGCGACCCCCGCCGCGCAGCGATTCGGCCGGCGGCTCGCCTCCTCGGCTCCTCGCCGCCTGCTCTCGTCTTCCGCCGCCGGCGAGGGCGCCGTCCAGCGGAGCCAGAGCCAGAGCCAGAGCCAGAGCCCGTCGCTGAACCTCTGCTCCGCCATCAACCAGGCTCTCCACATCGCCCTCGACTCCGACCCTCGGTGACGCCCTCCTTCGCTCTCTCCGCGCTTCTCGGTTTTGATGTCGAGCTCGAGTCGTCGGGTTCTTGTTCGCTTGATTTGGGACGGGTTTCGGTGTTGTTGTTGTTTTTTTTTTTTTTCAATCAGTTCGATCGTTCCTGTGATGGAGTTGACTCTCTTGCGTAGACTGAGCGAGACAAAGGGGGAAGAAGTAAGGAGAAAAAGGAGAGAAAGATGTTCGTTTGTGCAAGGCCTTGACGGGGTCTCTGCTCTGGTCCATGCATGATGATGTCGCTCGGTCAAATGATGGGCTTTGCTTTTTTTTTGTTTCTTTCCCCCCGCTGTGAAGTGATCGCACCTCCGCAGTAGGTCATCGGTCAGCTCCGGAAAAGAAATTTGTGCTAAATTATGAGCTCTCTCGGTCCCGTGGGCAGCATCAGGATTTGGGTGTTCAGTTTAAATATGATTTCATGCGGTGCAGTCAAATTTCAGATGTGAAATAGTTTATGGGTTATGTCTCTGTTGTTGGTATATGTCCATGACACTTGCGTGCTTTGTATGTAATTGGTCAAGATAAAGTCGAGTTAACTGCTGCTTTGTTGATATCCGGGTGTTGTTGAAGTGAAGCTCGCGGTTCTTAATTCACTTCGAAGGACACTCTTGGTGTTTGATGGTGAAACTCATCGTTCGCATTTTTCCCTCTTCAGTTCTTATGTATTCGGAGAGGATGTGAGCTTCGGCGGGGTCTTCCGTTGTACAGTGGGATTAGCTGATCGATTTGGTAAAGGCAGGGTTTTTAATACCCCTCTGTGTGAGCAGGTATTCTTTGTTCTAGTGCTGTCCATGAATTATTGATTATCCTGACTTCTCAGAAGGGAAAAAGAAGTTGTCCCACGATTCTTGGAAGAAAAGAGTCGCATCCTTAATTGCCTGGTTGATAATGTTTGACTGTTTTCCACAAAAAAGGTGTCTGCTTTTGGTGATCAATACCAAAGTGTGACGTTTCTTGTCATTGTTTGTCTATCACTCTCTCTTGATCTCCTTTTCAAATGAGAAATACTTCACAAAAAATGTCTAGTTTGTGGCTTCTTTCTTTATTTTATACGACTGAGCATTAGCAAATCATGATTTTCTTATAACTTTTCCGACATTGTAAACAACTGCATAAGCTTTCATTCTGAAATGATTCACATGCAGGGACTGGTTGGATTTGGTATCGGTCTTGCGGCAATGGTCAGTACTTATTTTTTTTTGTCTTATGCGATTCAGGATTATCAAATCATATTTGTTTTTGAAGATCTCTCATTGGATTTTTTATGTTTATACTGCATTTAGGGAAATAGGGCTATCGCGGAAATTCAGTTCGCAGATTACATTTATCCTGCTTTCGATCAGGTATGCATTCCATCTTGCAAATACTGTATTGCGACATGTTTAGATTTAAGTAACAGAAACTCTTGTTTATGTAGATTGTCAATGAAGCTGCTAAGTTCAGATATCGTAGTGGGAATCAGTTTAACTGTGGAGGTATACTCATTATCAGTCAGTATTTGATGGTCAAATTAGATTTTCTTTTGCCAGTTGTCGCTGATGAGATTTAATGTGATATTCTTAGGCTTAACAATAAGAGCACCTTATGGAGCAGTAGGACATGGGGGGCATTATCATTCACAATCCCCAGAAGCATTCTTCTGTCATGTCCCTGGTATCAAAGTATGGCTTTCGTTCCCAAAATCTGGATTGCTCCTTTCAGGTTCATTTTTCTCTAGCGAATTCTTCCCTATCTTCTGGGAGTCTGAAGGAAAAGACATCTATTTTATGAGTATTGACCATTACATGAACATATACATACCATTTCATTGTTTGGCCTCACGGAGTTTCTGCTGAATCATTGTATGTGAGGTAGAAAAGGACAGGACAAATTTGGTGTTTGTGATGATTTCTTTTTTAAGTGCATCGAAATCATGGACGTGATTGGTTTTTAAAGATTAGAATTGATCAAATTTGCATCACTTGAGAACAGGTCAGTGGTTAGTTAAATTTTCTGTGGTATAGCTATGAAATTTACTCGAGATGTTCACTGAAATTCAGAGACCTTTTTTTCCCTCAATGAAACTGATATTATTTCATTACTCAATTATATTGTGGTTTAGAAACTGCGACACCTTTATTAAAGATTCTTTTTATAGGTGGTCATCCCTCGAAGCCCAAGTCAAGCCAAAGGACTATTACTCTCGTGCATACGTGATCCAAATCCTATCGTCTTTTTTGAACCGAAGGTATTCAGTCTTTCAATCTAAGCTTGATGATTAATGATAACTTTGTCCAACTTTAAGATTTTATATTTCGGTGGATTCCAGTGGCTGTATCGTTTGGCTGTCGAAGAGGTTCCTGAACACGATTACATGTTGCCATTGTCGGAGGCAGAGGTACCCTTCTTTTAGCTCACGCAGTTAAAGACTTAAGATTCTAACAAAGTTCCAATGTCGTAGGTGATTCGCGAAGGCACTGACATAACATTGGTTGGATGGGGAGCTCAGCTTTCCGTCATGGAAGAAGCCTGCCTTGATGCAGAAAACGTAAGCCTATTCCCAGCTTATTTTCCTAATGATCTACCTTCCTGCTGCTGTGGGCCATCTCGAATGTAATTTCAAAGTGTGGGAAGTCTGGACTTGAATATAATTGTTTTTTTCTGTTCAGCATTGATAATTATGATTCTGACTCCATTATTCCAACATCTCATCTCTTGGAGTTTTCTGGAAAGATGAATGGCATGACAATTCTAAATGTATAATGTTTATCATGATAAGTGCAGATAGCTATGATGCCATTAGATTTTCTACAGCTTGTGCAGCACTTGTGATGTATAATGTACGTGTCATCTACAAATTAATGTCGTCAATCCCCTATGTGTCCAGACACGATACTGCCACAAAATTTAATCACTATCATCTGTTAAAGGGCCTCGAGATGGTTTGCTTGTTTGAAGTCATCTAATGTCCTCAAACTCTCATTATCAAGAAAATTTGCAGGATGGGATCTCTTGTGAACTGATAGATCTTAAAACTCTAATACCCTGGGATAAGGAGACAGTGGAGGCATCTGTCAGGAAAACTGGAAGACTTCTGGTACATTCTGCTTTCCCTCTGATAACATGAGATTATTGAAGTAATTCAGATCCCTATTTGCAGATTAGTCACGAAGCTCCTGTAACTGGAGGTTTTGGTGCTGAAATCTCTGCTTCAATTGTTGAAAGATGCTTCTTAAGAGTAAGCGTGAAGACATTCATCTTTATCTCATTCTCTTTTCTATGGCAATACTGGTTCAAGGATTCTTTCTTCTTATGCGCAATATAAGAAATCTTCTAATCCCTAAAAGCAGTATTTGTTTTGCAGCTAGAAGCCCCAGTTGCCAGAATCTGTGGTCTGGACACACCCTTTCCCCTTGTTTTCGAACCCTTCTATTTGCCCAACAAAAATAGGGTGATCAGTTTTTGTCTTGTTGCATTGCCTTCACATAAGAATAATGAAGAATTCGCTGATTTTGTGACCTTTTGTTCTGGATGCAGATACTGGATGCCATAAAATCAACTGTAAATTACTAATGGGTACTTGACTCTCATTGTTCACTCCAGTCCTATGCCTTGATATGATGTGCATAACAAATTGAGACTTGCAAAATTTTAGAAACCAGTTGTTCGATACTTCATGCCTGAAAGATTTGACTGTATCAACCCCTGCTGTATGTGAAAGTGTCCATGAATGATTTTTCGGGGTAGTCCATGGCTGGAATAAAGAGTTTGTCTTTCCTTGCCTTGGCTTTAACCCTGTTCAACTCTTGTTAATGTATCTGTAGATTCGGTATGTAGTAGTAGTTTTTGCTCAAATAAAAATAAAATGAAAGGTTTTCGCACTTGAAGTTCCGCCTAGTATGTACATATGTATGTACTCGGTATCTATCACACTGAGGTTGTCATATGTGTTGCAGGGAGTGAGAGGTTCATTGTTCATTTCATTTCCATGATCAGTAGAATGTTGCGCTTCACTTGTCGGAAAATGTACATGACAGAACTAGTTACGAATGGAACGTTACTTTTCGATCATATCGGGAATCAGTTGAGAAAAACGCTGGGGTATTATGTAGAAGTCTGACAGCTAGCTAAAATGGTATCGCTTCCTGGACTTCGAAACTCGAAATGATAATGAACCTTTACGCTTGGTGCGACAAAGGCATAGACGTGCTTCAATGTGCCCATCGAGCCATTTCCTTCTCTTCCTTTGGGACAGTAATATCGTCATCGGCCCAGAATGGACGAGGATTATCATAAGATTATGTCAGAAAGGGCCTGTAAGAAACCAACTTCAGTGCTCTTGAACTAAATTGAAGAAATGAGAAGAAAATCCTGACGATTGCTAACCAAGTGAAGGAACTTGCTCAAGTGCAACTCCGGGCTAGCAAAATTTTCAGGCAATTACATCTAGATAAAAAGATTTGTGCACAAAGTGTGTAGCTTCCAAGTTCGAACTAAATCTCACTCCACGGTCTGCCAGTACCAAAAAACATGCTCTATTTCTAACCGCGGCAGAGATTCCGACCGCGAGTGATTCTTGTTGGAGTCGGTGCCGCTAAATCAGTATTGTGTCTGGTGGAGAAAAGCATGAGTGGACAAGGTACAATATGTATCGATGGCGAGGCTGACATGATATATTTGTCCGATCATATTACTCGTGTTATGTATATTACAATCAACCCCACGCGTCATTGTAACGTTGTCTTAGCACCAAATAAAATACTACCGAGGACAAGCAAGGTGAGATTAGGATTGGCTTGAGACGGCTACATTCAGAACTAGGACGAAATCTTTTTTCACCGATGTTTATCCGCTTCGGCCTTTAATGTAGAACAGCTGGCAAATGCTTATATGAAAACACCGAGCATCATAAGAGCAGGCGGTCCCGCCCACGCATTAAATGACGAACGGTTAACTTCAAACAATTATGGACCGCCCACGCATTAAATGACCAACGGTTAACTTCAAACAATTATAATTTTTTATCCGAAAGGAGTTATGACGCGTACATTGTATCAAATCCTACAAGATCTTCCAATTGTTTGACCTCCAAACTCATACGTTTTCCTTAATTTCCGTACCTTCAAAGATTTCGGACGCGCTCTACAGATTTTCGAAACGCATTTTGAAAACTTTCCCTTTTAACAACATTTTTTTTTCTTAATTCTGTTATTTAATTTTAATTATTTTAATTATTTGATTGTTTCCTGAAAGGCGACCTCTCTGTAACTAGACACCTAAGACATTATAAACGATATCCTTTTCCAAGTATATCTTCCTCTATATCAGCCTTCCTACTCAATCTTACTTCAATAAACAAAGCTTTTCTACGCCAACCCATGATGACGCCTACTTCCGGCACTTAGCGTTTCACATATTCGACGCATTTCTTTCTCTTGAAATCGTAATCTTTGCCTTCCCAAAGACCTAAGCAGCACTTCAATTGCTCGATACAGCCACGTTACTCGGTCAAGATCAAATTTGAACGGTAATGCAAATCATCCTTATACCAACCACTGAGATTTGAGAGCCATCCTCACCCATAATGTTTCTCAAAATGAAAACACACTCGTAAAATACCAAGAATAGGAAAAGAACATAGCCAGAGAGAGCAAAACTCACTTTTGCTGTCCTTTTAAGCAGAGCAAGGGTCCAGAAAGTCAACTCTGACACCATTAATTTTTTTTAGTATTTCTCATTGGTGACTTTAAGAGGACGGAAGCTGTAATTTTGCACACCGGATGCAAGCAAACAAAACAATACTATTTTCTTTCAAGATACTTGCACATAACAACTTAGTCTTTCTTGCTCTCCCTTAATTTATCTTCAAATTGGCAAGGGCCTCGAGCGCGATATCCTTCCATTATTTACAACTCAACCCAGTCTCCGCCCTCGATGCCAAGCTTTTCCACCCCCCACGACTGCTCGAATTATGTCAATCTGATCTCGACATCAGATATCTGTCACCAAATAAAAATCAACACGGCTCAGATGCTAGAAGCATAGACTACGCAAGCGACAGAACATAAGCTTAGTATATCTTCCTCTATGTCACACTCCTTTGCTGGATACTTCAGACATGTCCTCAGGTTTAAACACAATTGAAGATCCATAACAAGTACGAGCAACGAGAAAGGAACTTCAAAAATCAATTGATAAGGGGATATCACATGCTACAATTTGGAGCCAGAAACAGACTACTTGATTGATATTTACCAAAATTGCCACGTCCTATACGAAGAGAGAAAAGAAGTAACATTGTTTGATACAACCACTACAAAATCTGAAACTTGACTAATCATAAATTGAAGATCCTCAATACCCTATATACATACATGTGTCTGTTCATATGCATCCACCGCTCCATATGTATATGTGCATGTATGTTCATACCAAAAGTTATGTCATTATGCATGATCGCATGCATGTGCTCTTTTATTCAGGTATCATAGGCTTACGTTTGCAGCTACTGCAAATATAGCTGCAAACATAGGCAAGGCTATAGGGCAAACTTCATCTACTAGCAGATAAAGTTAGGACATGCACATGACACATGACCTTTTAGTTATGCCAAAAGCCACACGTTTGCAGAGCCAATGAAAATTGAAATGAAGAACAAAGAATGCTGCAGCGTCAAAAGAATAAGAGCTGTACCATTGTTGGATTTTCCTGAACTCAGTGAGCACAGGGTATATGTTCTCAAAGGCAGTGTATGTCTCATCTCGCACCTGGATAATCTAATAGCATGAGCGAGGGCTAATATGACTCCAGAAATACCCACAGAACCAAATGCATGAGTACAAGCTAGATAATCACCTTTGCCCCAGTGAGGACAATTTTTCCTGACACAAAGATTAGCAGCACAATTTTTGGCTGTTTCATCCGATATATCAAGCCAGGGAACAGCTCTGGTTCATACTGCCGCAAAATTCAAACAAAAAGACGCATTAACCAACAGTTCCAAGAAATGACTTGAGACGAATTGCAGCTTATCTTCTGGTAACAATGACTTTAAAATAGAAAATCCAGTAATACTGAGGCCAAAAAAGAGCAGACGGCTCCTGCCATCATAAGAGGTAAGATGTGCAGCTACAACTTACACTTGAGAAGGCACCATGTGAATATGCAAGACCTTCAAGCCTGATAGGGAATTTCACATCACAAGAACCCACGATATTTTGAATTTTGAAATCCTGGCAAAGACAAGCACCACAAAGTAACTCAGTAACTACGAGCAGTCAACCACAATATTCTGTAACAGAAAGAGAAAGAGACATATGTACCTTAAATTTAGCAGGGAATCCAAGTTTCTGAATGATTCGAGCATACTGGCAGGAAGAAAAAAAGGTTAGCCTTCAAATGATCATTGTCTCGAATTGCATTATTGTTTCATTCCAAATCAAGATGCAAGTTGCAGCCTCGACTGAACTTATCGTTTCATGAAGATTTACTTAATTTTCTCTTATTCATGTACTACTGAAGATTGCTTGTGACAAATCCAAAGACTAACTGCTTCTTATGACACCATCACATCTAATTTTCCATTCCCATTAATTTACAGCTACAAATATATGATAGTTCCGTAGAAAACCAATTAATTGTGAACCTAGACTTTGTACGATGGTGCTATTTGTCATTGGCCATACACCATTCCACTTATCAAGTTACCTTTCGTGCTGCTAACTTTGATTGTTGTTCACTCTTGGCTCCAGTACAAACCTGAAAAGCATAGTGCACTCAGTAAGCAAAGATAACAACCCTAAAGAGAAGCAATAAGTAGACCTGAAACTATGCTCAAGATGGCAAGGAGTACATACACGCATCTTTCAATCGAGATGACGACCATTAAATGTTGATACAAAGCTTCTCATGATTATGAGACGGATCGTTGGCCTCGTAATTATGTGCCACTTTGCATTTCTGTGTTTTCTAATGATTATGAAAATGTAAAGACTGCTAGCCATAGAGCAAGGTAGTAACTATATGTATACAACTATATGTAGTCGGTGCCGGAAGGACGAAGAGATGAATAGAGGTGATTGCTTGCTTTCTTTCAATCAGAGAAATACTCAAAATTAATGACTAAATAAGTTCTAAAGAAAATAACTCAGGCATACACAATCAAGGGGATAGATTTCTATGAATTCAAAAATGACACAGAGAGAAATTTCAGAGGCCAACAGAAACATATTAGGAGTCTGATCTAACATGACTTACCATTTTCCCTGAAGCAAATATCAATGCTGTTGTTTTTGGCTCCCTTATTCTCATAATTACAGCAGCAAAACGCTGCAAAAGATATACATTTGGAAACATTAATCCGTAGAAGTACAAGAAAGTATATTATTGTGTAACCAAAATAATTAACAATACTAGATCTTAAGGAACTAGGTCAAAAACAATTAACAAAGGGAATGATCCGTCAGGCAAATACCTTAGGATTATACTCAGCATTTCGAGCTTGCAAAGCAATGGCCTTGAGATCCAATTTGCAGTCCAAATTCACTGTTGAGACTATGTTCCTGGATAAGTAACACAACACTAATTATTCTCTTTGTAATACGTGTATTAAAAATAGGAGGTGTTTCGATTGCTTGCATAGAACAAAGTAAAGCATCCAAATTGTCTCGGGAAAGGGAGATTATAGTTTCCCAGGCAAGACAAACCACCCGCTCGTTGTCGTGAGATAATTCATGTCCCCATGTTTATGCCGAACAAATGGGCAAACAATGCAAAAAGAATAATATAAGGCCACACAAGACCTTCCATGAACATTATACTCTGCAAAAGCAAGAATTAGACGTATATCTACTTTTTCAAAAGAATAGATCTTAGAGCTACTCACACATACAGATGCATTACTAGCTTAAAACCATGACAGCACCAACCAAACTAATACTCATGCATACAAGTGTGCACATATTTGGTGAATTTACTTAACCAGTAAAGTGGCCTCCCTATAGTGCAAGAGACAATTTACAGGTCATTCTTCAGTTGTCGTTAGTTACCAGCAATCATGTTTTCCTATGTCCTCTAACTTAGTGTAGCCCTCGCATAAAGAACGTATGACACAACTTTGAAAGATCTGTGGAAGGGCAAATTAAAGTTTGGGAAATGGAGCTGCTCCATTTATCTATCTAAATACTCTAGGGCACAAAATAAGCATTTATGTACCCAGTTTGTAACTGAGAAAACTTTCGTGAAGCTGCTTCGGCTTCCAAAGAGCTACATCAGGTTCAAAAGAATGTACGGTGAGCATTCAAAAGCACAAAAAACCATAGGTGGAAGATCTGCACTAGTTCAAAATTTAGTTCTCAAGAACTAACCGAGGGTATTTTGCAGCTCCGATTTTTCAACTTTTATAGGTTTCTTTCGACTCGATCATTCTTGAAATACCAAACCCACTTGAAAGAAATTACACTTTTATCCTTGAAAATTAATTTTATGAAGTAAATCAAATAGTTAAGCTCATTCACTTCGTTGATCATGCTATCACATCAAAACATCACTTGCCAATCCATACAAGACAACGATGCAGCAACACCAACAGCTACAGCAACGTCGACCGGGCTCTCAGTAAACCAGAGAACGACAAATCGCAGGCGCGAAATCGCAAGACTCACTGAAGAGTAGGAACGATTCCTGAAGGATGCTTGGACAGATCAACCGGTTGGCTTCCCTCCAAGCCCTGATCCGCCATGACTCGTCCCCTCCGAAATCTCCACACACAAATCCAACACGGAAACCCCTGTCCACCTACAGAGTTTTCACGAAGGCATAACAAGATTAAGCCAACCCTCACGTCACATCATCTCCAAAACAAATAAAAAAACCCTAATTATCTCTCTCTCTCTCAGATCCTACAACAAGGAAGAAGCTAATCCATATTTTTACTCCAAAAAGCACAAACAAGATCGACCCATCTCTCTTTTCTGAGCCCTAATCACATCTTTCAGTTTCAATTACTTCGGCCAGTCCACAAATTCTTAAAGAACCCAGGTTTTCATTTAACGACCCACTTCTTTTCCAAAGATCTGAACCCGCAATAGAACAGACCCAGATCCCGAAACCAGAAAAGATCGGACCTTTCCTTCGAAACCCGGGGTTTGACCGTTGGGATCGGCTCAGGGGGGACAGATCTGAGCGGAATCCAAGGGGGGAAACCGGCGGGCGGAGCGCCAAAAGTTCGAAAAGGCGAGTCTTTTATAGGTTTATGGACGAGAGATTTGTATTGGGAGGCCTTAAAAATGAGAGAGAGATGAGAGGAGGGAGGGAGAGGAGCGGGAGAGAGGAGACGGGAGAGGAGAGGAGAGGAGAGAGGGAGAGATTTGTGAGGGAAGTGGGAGGACGCTGTGGTGGTCTGCTGCTTATGGAGGCGACGGCAGGTTGCGTAGGTTCTTCGGACAGCTCCTCGGCCCCTTATATTCGTCTCCCCAAAGTGCCCTCGCGGACCTGCCCCGGGACGGCGGGCTCCGAGGGGCGTTTTGGGAAATGCGGTGCGGGGAACGCTGGGGATACGGGGCAGCGCTGCGCGACCGTCCAGTGGCTGCCCGCCACGTCAGGGTGAAAACGCGTCTCCTCGTTTTGGGTTGTGCCCTGTACGAAACGGAGATGTCGACTTTTTCTTTTTCGATTTTCTTTCTCTTTTTTTTTTTCTAAATGTTGGGGAATTAAAGGGACTTTCTCTGGATTTATTGGCCCTTCTTTTCATTTTTTTTTGTTTGGTTAAAGCCTACTTTTTTATATTAATTGACTCAATTACCATTCAAAATTCGACCAAAAAAAATTACCATCCAATTCAATATTTTAATCAACATTGCCCCATCTGTCAATAAAGTTAATGTCATCGTCTCTCTCTTTTAGCAACATATTTGTGCTAAACTTTCTGAATAAAAATCATTCTTTTGTATTAGTAAAAATAGAAAAAGGCCTTCATCTTTTTAAGTAAAACTATGTTTCGAAGGTTGGAAAAGATTTTTCCTTTTGGCGATCACGAAATCATCAATTTGTTAGAGATGATGCAATGCCGTTAGTTTGACTTGTTAGAAAATCGTTCATTTAGTTCCGTTTGTTTAAGTTTTAAGTGATTTTTGTGGAAGTCCATTCAAGTTTCTATATAAGAAAAACTTTGACAATAAGGTTCGTGAGCAATACCGATAGTGTTCAATAAAAGAAAGTTTAGCTTGATCTTTCTCTTGCCTTTTCTCACTGTTTTTTCTAGTCCTTATGTTTAACTATCGGAAAAAGAAAAAACAGGCGGATCGGATTTCTAACTGAATAAACGGTCGGATTTTGTTTTTGCTATTTCGGAGGAAAAAAATGAATCTTTCTTCTCATGCTAGGTTCAGGAAACGTTAAAAAGGGAAAATATCAAATTAAATCGAAATAGGAAAGTATCAATTCATAGATCATTAATTTACCTAAATCCATATATTAGTAAGGGTTAATATCATTAAAAAACCCAAACTGATACATTAGTAATAATTTTACTCAAAACTAATTTTTTAACCATAAAAAATCCCAGATTGGTATACCAATGACAAATTTATCATTGTTAGTTTCTATTAAATTTTACCGTCAAATTACTATGTTGAATGACACGTGACAGTTTACGAGTATAACAATCTAAGGTTTTACCCTTCGTTTGTCACAGGTGTACTATTTTGTGATTTTTGTATTAATCAAATTTAACGGAAACTAACACGGGATAAATTTGTCACAAGTGTACCGGTTTAGGATTTTTAGTGGTCAAAAAATTAGTTTGAAATAAATTTGTTACAAGTGCAATAGTTTGGGGTTTTTAGTGGTCCAAAAATTAGTTTTGGTTTATCACATAAGTATCGGTTTGAGTTTTTCGCGGTATTAACCCTATTAGTAATGCATGCTTGATAAAGTCGAAACTAATTTGGTCAGTTGACATGCGATTTCGACTTTATTGCACATTATTATATCATGAGACGAGAAAAAAACTAAATTCATTTCCATTTTCGACCCAAAAAAAAATTCATTTCCATAGGTTTTGTTGAAAATGCAGATATTCCACGTAACATGACGTCGGCAGGTTGACTCGCGTGTCTGCGCCAAAAACGACGTCGTTTCTGGCGTGGGAGCCTTCCTCCTGCTGCTCTCTGTCTCTGCGTGCAAGTGAATTCCCAAGATCACAGTCGAGACATCTTGAAGAATTACTGCTTCTGGGTTTCGACTTTTTGACCACTTCCCTCCGGACATGAACTTCTTGCCAATCATCTCCATCTCCATCGTCGTCACATTGGTTCTGCTGTCCAGCGGATCATCCTCGACTTCACTACCCAATGACCCGCTTCTTGGGATTGCTCCTGGAGGTTCGAGCCAATCGCTTTCTTCTGGTGTCTTGTTTGTGAAATTTGTTATTGGACAAAGCTTGCTAGAGTGTGTGGGGTTGTTGGGTTTTGACTTTTTGAGGTTGTGGTTGGATGATTGATGAGAATCTGCGTGATACCCAGATGTGAAATATTACAGTTCATCGGACGGGATCAAATGTAAGGATGGATCGAAGAAATTTACCAGAGCCCAGCTCAATGACGATTTCTGCGACTGCCCCGATGGCACGGATGAGCCAGGTCCTTTTTGAGCCATCTTTGAGCCATTGGTTTGCTATATCGTCCTTGCTATTGGTTGGTCTCACATTTTGCATTGTGTTTAGATGGATGAGGGGATGCAACGGAAGGGAAATAAGGACAGAGATTATGAATAGGATGAACAATGGAAATAATAGAATAAACATTTCTTTTTTAGGCCATAGACCTTCCCCCGGGCGCAAGACTGGGAGGAAACAGAAGTAAATTCATGAATCACTGTCGCCCTTCTTTTCATTGATGTCCGTCTTGTACAATAATGAGATGCGTATGAAGAACTCCCGGTCTTCTTCTTTGCCAAACAAAGCAGACGAATTGTTACCTTAAGCAATTTTACCGGTTATTATAAACTGGCGGGTATATTACGAGGACTTAATCTTTTCCTTCGTAATTGTCATGAACAATCAGTTTTGCTTTATAGATCAGCAAAAACTAAGGATTGCTTTATTTGATATAAATGCTTTTGAAGAGCAACGATACATATTAAGTTTATATGGGACTTTCATGAACTGGCATTGTTGAGCGATGCTCTCTATTGATATCTTAGTAATGATGGTTCATCAAGAAGCTCAGCCAGCCTCATGTTAGTTCAGTTGTATTGTGCTCGTCACAAACCATGAATTTTTCTTTTGTTAGGCTTGTAGTATGAATTAGCCATCCTGGTTTTAGATAATCTATGAAATAAATTACTTATCCAAAAAAGACTGTTACTTCTCCTAGGGTTTATTTCTTCTTTTAGAACATAGTATGTGTGCAAACACCTAGTAGTGTCCATATCTGGACCCGCTTTGATGTTAGACTATTCTAAATGACACTGTTACTTTTACCAGGCTTTGTTTCTTTCTTTAGAACATCGCATGTATGTCTGCAAATTCCTTGTAGTGTCCACCACTAGAGCTATGTACTCTTCTAATTGTAACTTCACTTTCTCTGACTCGATAATGCAGGAACATCAGCATGCCCAAATGGAAAATTTTATTGTCGGAATGCAGGACATGTTCCTGTCATTATATTTTCTTCAAGAGTAAATGACGGTATTTGTGGTAAGTAGTTCATCAGAACTTTTTCTTCATGGTCTTGGCCGTTCCAAGCATTTATTTTCCTGTGTTGTTGTGGACCTCGTTCTCCCTTCTGACCATCTGTACACAACACATGCATGTAAGTTCATGTAAGGCCATCGAACAAGATCCTGCTGCCATTGAAATGACCAACAAGGTTGCAATTCCTTCTTAGACATGGAAATATTAGCTATGACATCATGTATGGCCAAGGCCAGAAGTCCTCTTTACAGATTTTAATTGCTTCAATGCCAAGGATATCTCTAATCTTCACTGCAATGAGATGTTCCATGCTTTAGTGTCATGAGGCGCTGATTAATCATATTTTGTGCAACAACATTTATTTTACCTGCTTTAGCAACTTCTTGTCCTGGATCGTTTTCCTCACCAAACAAACATCATCGCCAAAAGTTTACTTTGGATACTATTTAATGAACCCCAGTACCATGAAGACGAGTGAACAAGGGTAATTTCTAGTGATAACAGATTTGAGACTACTTGTTAGGAACTCTCCAACTTTTGAGGACAAGGACACTAATTGTGAGATATGCATATGGGAAATGAATAGAAACTTTTTTGCGGCTTTACATCTTAAGGATTGTTTGAAAAGCTAGACAAGAGCGGCTTTTTCAATGGAGAACAGTTTGCTTGCTCAGTCCGGTTCAATCCAGTGAAAAGAAAGTGGTCAAAACTAGGTGAAATGGAGAAGTGGTTGAGTTGGGATTGATTTTTTCCTTAACACTCATCAATGAACAGGGTTTCTGAGAACACAAGAAAAATTGCAGGAAAGGGGAAAGGTTGGAGAGAAAACAAAAGGTGCATATTTAAATAAAATCTACATGCTAATTGTTATATGCATGGAACTGCAGAGTGATCAATTGTAAGTAAAATGGATGATGAATGAGTAGATTAAGTAACATCATAACATTGTGATAAGACACTAGTTTATGCTTAGACTAATTTTCCCTTTTCATCGTTTAGGATTTTTGTCGATTGGACAAATACTAAATGCTAAGGTCTTATAAAAAATTTACATGCTGACATCATCTGACCTCGATAGGTTGACAGAATTACTAAATCGTTCTGGTTCTTGTAACACTGATTTTAGCATCCGCTGGACAAAGGGGTAACTAGCAGGTGGTCATTCTTTTCTGCTCCCTCTTATTGTTTCCTCCTAATGTATGTTCTTTGCCTGCTCCATGATATTCAGACTGCTGCGACGGGAGTGATGAATACGACGATAAAGTGAAGTGCCTGAACACATGTCGGGAAGCTGGAAAAGCAGCAAGAGAAGAGTTGAAGAAAAAAATTGCTGGGTACCAGGAGGGCGTTACCATACGGAAAAAGGAAGTGGAACAGGCAAAAGTATCTCTTGCAAAAGACAAGGAAGAATTGTCAAAACTGAAAATTGAGGAGAAAGTACTGAAAGTGCAGTTTGAACAGCTTAAAGGTTTGATTTTTCCTAATTTGGTGGTATCTTGGCAAAAAAACTTGAATTAAGTCATCATGATCTCATTAAATCTGAGTTCGCCCTTAAAACGTAGTTGCTGGCTACGGCTCATATATTTCATTTGTTGATGCTGCATCTATTGCTGAAGTTTCAGTGATAGCAGCATAATATGGTCTATGGAATTGGGAAAACTAAAACTCTGATGATGATGATGAACTCATTATTGAGATTCTACTTGATATAGCTTGCAAATAGATATATTTTACAGTACTAACTGTTTGATAATTTTACTAAACGACAAAGCATTTCCCGAATGAGTGTGGATGTTGTGCTTATTAGACATTGATGTGCCAGATGTTTTCCAGCCTTGTAGGTAAATGAATGGAAGATTGGGAATCGTTTGGTTTAACTCACTAAAGAAATTACTTCATCCCTCTAAATGAGTGTCTAGTGGTGTTATGATGTTTGGAAAATTAGGCTATGTTTGGGAAAATCGGGAAATGGAAGGGATAGGTGGAAAGTTGGGAGAATTTTGAAAATTCTGTGAGAGAGAAATAGAGGGAAAATTCTAATTTTGTGATACTTTCTCTCCAAATTCCATCCCCTTGGTGCCCCAAAATAGCCTTAGTGTCATGGTCACTATTTGCTATTTCTGTTGTTCTACACGTGCTTGGACTACCCTTCTTCCATTTTTGGGCACTTTATGATGCTTAGGTTAAGATTTCTTTTACATGTGTTCTTTTTTGTATTACTTTCAATTGTTTTTGTCCTGCTTCATCTCTCAATATAGAGCGCAAAGAACAAATAGAGAAAGCAGAGGAGAAAGAGCGCATGAGGAAAGAAAAAGAAGAGAGAGAAAAAAGAGAAGCTGAGGAGAAAGCTGGTATCAACCAAGAGAGAATTGAAAAGGGGATAGGAGGTGAAAGGGATACGTCAACTACAGAGAGTACGCATGATGAAAGGATTGGACTTGTGGATGATTATCCATCTGACCAGGTTCAATAGAATTTCTCTATCCTATTAACTTTTTGGCGAGTTGTAGGTCAATGGGTTGTAGAAAATTGTTGTTTCTTAATTTTTGAATGTTTTGTCGCGGGATCTATATTGCTTGCTGCATGTTTTGTAGTGTGCGGAATATGAGCTGCATGGACAATGTCTTAAATTTTTTTTTTTTTGGTCGAAATAAAATTACCTATGGACTGCTTGAATAATGTTTTGTTTGCATCATAGCTATTGTGCCTCTGCACATGCATGTTGATTCGATACCTTTCTTTTCGTTTTCAGTTTTAATAGTAGGGCATGCTTACAAAGTTTTGGAATGCATATTAGTATGTTAACTTCCTATGCGATAAATTTCCTCCCAGTTCTTTACACATGTGCGCTTTCGATAGGATTTGGAAGAAGATTTGGCAGCAGAACATGATCATGTATCAACTGGAGTCCAAGATAAGGGAATTACTGTAAGTCGTCAAAAGTTTAACCAAGCAATACAGGCAATTGATTTTCTGTAGTCAATGTAATTCCAACAATTTGGACATTTGTTGTTCTGTATAGCATGCTGTGGAAAAGAAAGATGAGTCGGTAACACCGGCAAGCGAGGAAGAGTCAATCGTTTCATCTGAACCTATTGTTGACGCTGAAAGCAAGGTGGCTAATGGCTATATAACTGCAGAAGTACTTTTTCTCAACTCTTTTGGTTTTATTACTTTAACGTGACTGCAAACCCTTAGATTTCTCTGGTAAAATCTGGTGCAATCATAAGTACGTATTATGTCATAGATGCTATTCGCTTACCACTAATACTGCCTATGCAATTCTGCGATGTGCATGAAATTTTTTGCTCTCATACCAAACTTTGATTTCAGTCAATCATTGCAGAGAACGTTATGGCTTGGCGGAAGTGAATGTCTGACAGAAAATCATGTCGGCCATAGAAATTAGAGTCATCCTCACCACCTTCATTAATGGACTCCTCTTATCTCGTCTTTTTTGTGTAATATGATCCCATTCAATGTTTTGGGTATCTCTGCTTTCTTCAGATGATCTTCCTTGCAATGAATTGGTCGAGCCTGCTCCTTTTCTGCCATTGGCAGTGTATGAAACATAACTCGCATGTCATGGAAAATCCTGTTAGGTTTAATCTAACATGAAGAAATATATTCTGATCATAATTTTGAGGCAATAGTTCTAATAGAAAATCCAGCTATTCTTCAAAATTTGGCAAGAGCAATTTTATTTCTCTATTTAATATCCATCAAGTAGATATCATGGGTTTGAGAATGAATATCTTTACTTGAGGTGTTTACATGACTGCATGTTACTTTTCTTCCTCTTGCCCCATGCGCATTTTTTTATTTTTATGGAGTTTCTGAAGTTCTTGTGGTCTTGAATTTGAAATGATCTCAGATATCTCACTTTAACCGGCTTTTCCAAAATTTGTGAATGATTCTTTTATTACTCATAGGGAGATGACGCATCTGAGAATGCCGAGGAACTGTCAAAGGAAGAGTTGGGTCAACTTGTTGCTTCTCGTTGGACAGGGGGGAAGACAGAGAAGGAAAGTGGGGAAGACTTTGCAAGAGATAATAATCACGAGGAACAAAGTAGCGAGATCCCAAAAAACATGCGTGATGGTATTGATGATATATATGCGTTAGATACTGCTGACATCGAAAAGAATGAGTATGATAATGTGGAAGATGGGTTTGATGAAGATTCTGCAGTGAAGAATCATTATGATTTCAGTTCTCATTCCAAAGATGAATCAGATAGTGACTCAGACGATGATTTAGACTTAGAAGGTTCGCTTTTTGGCTTCCTGTGAATTTGAATATCCTGTTCTTAAAGATCGCTGGAATTTTAGTAACCTGATGTGTCATGTTACATGGAATAATATCAACTTATAGATCTAGCAATCAAGAAGTTCTTTTCTTGGGTAGAGAAGATGAAGAAAATGTGGTGGGGAATTCTTCGAGCTATCAATATATTCCAGACTCCTGTTGACATATCTGGTTGGTGGTAACATTATAGTTTGACTTCTAATCTTAATTTCGAATGGCACAGAATCACGTCGTTTGTTTATTCTTTTTTCTTCAGAGGCTACTCAGGTACGCAAAGAATATGATGAATTGAGTACCAAATTATCTAAGATCCAGTCGAGAATATCAAGCTTGTCACAAAAGCTGAAACAGGATTTCGGTGAGAAGATACGTCTATACTTGTGAGAATATCTTGGACAATGGTGCTCTTGTGAACTAAAACTCAGAATTAAATGGTACAGGCCCAGAAAAGGAGTTCTACTCATACTATGATCGCTGTTTTGAGAGCAAACAGAATAAGTTACTACTTCTCTTTTCTGGGATGTTCTTTCCGATCGTCACGTTTTTCAAATTGAGTCAAGGGCCAATTTGCAAAGATCAAGCTTTCTCAGCAGTCAGTGTCCTAATTTCTCATCTCTTGATCTAGGTATGTTTACAAATTGTGCCCCTTTAAAGAAGCTTCCCAGCATGAAGGGCACTCTACAACTCGCTTGGGGTATGCTTTTTATGTTATTTGTCATGAAATTTTCATCTATGCGATTGCTATTCTCATGTTAGAAGAGTTGCTAGTTTATTTGTCTGTGTTGTGCTGAGAATCACTTTCCTTACATCATCTTTACAGAGGCACCAATTTTCTTCTTCAGCTTGATAAAGAGATTGCCGAGAAATCTTAATTGATGATTGGTTTAAGGAATACATCTTAAACTCTTAGTCTACTCAATTACCAGTGGATCAAACATAGGTTAGCTTTGTTTCTAATGCAAATGAACCTGTTGTCTATCTACAAGTAGCTAGCAAATTGCTCTTATAAAACTTGGCAGTACTGACTTTTTCCATCATGAATTCAACCGACAAAGCCTTAGGCCTTAATTGCAAATAGAAGAAATCTCGGGGCTAATTCGTCTTGGCAAATGCCAAAATGCCCACTCGTATGAATTAACACTATTCATGTAGCACCTATATTTTTTTGTCCCTGAGATATTTAGGAAAAATTTACTTTGCCATGATTAGATGACCGAACCAGACTGTAGATGTACAATTTTGTAGGCATTTGAATTGTAAATTATGGTAATCTTCTTCTAAATGAGACGTAATGTTGGCTCAGATGAATTGAACCATTCCTTATTCATATCTGTCATCTTTAGAGGGAAAATGTTTGGTCCCTTGAAGTCCATGCAATTTGTCTGTGGTCTCATAAACTGTTAGAATTACCATGAAGATATTCTTTAATTCTTCTCAGCTGATTGATGTTGCACATGTTCAAACCCTGCATCTCGGATATTAATTTTATCATCCTAGTTTTTCTTTTTCGCCCGTCACAATCTCCATTGCACTATACTCCCTCTGGATTTTTTATTCATAATACTATATGATGGTTATCATGTGCGGTTACTAGGAAGTGGGACAAATTTGACGACAGTTTCAGAGTCATGATCTTCTCATCCGGTGACAAGTGCTGGAATGGTCCAGACAGAAGTATGAAGGTACTTTATTTGATGCTTTAGATTTTAGTTGGTCATAAATAGACATGGTTGAGAGTTTTTTTCCCTCTTAAGACGTAATTTATTTGGTACCAATGTCGACTTCTCAGCTTTGCGATTCTCTTAGAAAGATAAGCCATTGCACAATGTGCTAAATTAAGGGATCGAAGAGCTTGTATATTGGCTGTTTTGCAAGGCTTGCTCGATTTCCTTAATTTTGAGATGAGGCCGATTTCGATTGATCATCACGTGTCAAGAAATGCCAGCCTCTAAGTGGGATAGGTGGTGGTACGTATTGCTGTTATGATGTCTGCTATTGCACGTTTACAGGTGAAGCTGAGATGTGGGTTGAAAAATGAGGTTACTCATGTAGACGAACCAAGTCGTTGCGAGTAAGGATTTCTTCCCTATTACTGCCTGTGTGTAATTGTACGTCTCTTTCTTGTGTAAAATCTGGTTCTCTGTGACAGATATGAAGCACTGCTATCCACTCCAGCTCTTTGTAAAGAAGATAAACTGAAGGTACTTATTCTGTCATGTCTCCGCTGTTTCAAAATCACCTGTTAATTCAAGTAGTTTCTTATGGATGCCTAAAATTTTCTACTAACGTGCTACAGGAACTTCAAGATAAGCTAGACATGATGAGTAGAGAACTGATGGACGGCCATGACGAACTATAATAGATGGACAGAATCAATGAGTTGGAGATTCCTTTCGCATGCTGACTTATTGAGCTTGTACTATCCACTTTGTTCATAAGAGGCTTACACGTAACATTTCTCAAGTAAAGTAGCGACTCCTGCAGCCTTTTTCAGTTTGCTGTAATGCCGATAGTTTTGTGTATGCCCAAAACATGGTTATTCCTTTGACTGTATACAGCTCTCTTGTATATCGATATCAGGCTTTTCAGATGTCGAACAGCGGTTAGCTAGTTTGAATGTTAGATCGTGCAGAAGACATAATTGGTAATTCACAGCAGATGAAAATGGCGACGACTATTGCTATAGGGAATCCATGAGCAGGCTATTCTTTTTTAACACCCGTCAGTCTAAACTTGTACCACGTCAGGACAGTCCTCTCATCTCTCCGTGCAATCGAGCAATTACTGAGTCGAGCATGACGGTGGTCGTCGCATCTTAACCAATTCAATAGTTGCTCGCAATCCCATCGACCTACCAACTGTATTGTGGGCTACAGAACAGCTAGAAACGCTGGAACTGCACGCGGGGCGAGCAGTTTTCTTGACAAACTTCAATGCATCATGCGCGAAAAAAGGTCAACTGGTGGTGGGTTTTCTTTTTTCCCGGCCGTTCGAGAGTGGACAATACGTTGATAAGGACAAGAGAGAAAGTCAGAGATCAGAATACCAAGTGGTAATAATAATACTAAGAACAACATTTCTCCAGCTAAGAATTGGAGACGCCACCTTCCTTAGCGCCGCGCGCATTCATGGTGATGCCAAAGTGATTTAAGCCATCACGGTCCATCCTATGAATCACGTTGAAAAGAGAGGAAGAAGAAAATGATGAATGGACGACAGGACTGATCAAGAATTGCAGAATATACAGCGAGTTCAGGTCGAGGAGAGGAGCAACCCATCACAATCTCCAAAAGCCAATATTAGAGTGCTGACCTTTAAATGATTGTGGGTGTTTTCTCGCCGGTCAACACAAACATAATGAAATAGAGAGTAAAAGCGAAAAAGAAAAATCGAGGCATAAGCTTCATCATGATTCGCCCTAGCTCAAATTATAAAAACCTACGTCACGGGGCACTGCCCCCTATAACCCCCGCTCGCTCATCTAGAAAGATTCCGTACTTTCCTATCGATGGAGAGTATGAATCACACACCCAACAATAGATGCTGATCAGCCCAACCAAAATAATTGTCCAGGACTCGAGTCCAGCCATTTGGAATCCATAATATCAACTACCGTGATTCACTGGATCTGCTGAATTTGTGTCGGCCCCATGTGGGATCCACAACATTATCGACTATGGTTTGCTGGATTAGCTAAACTCGGGTCCGGCCGGAGAAGGAATTCCGTTGACCGGGCATGCACGTGGCCACGCATGTTGTGCCACTGCCTATCATACGTTCACCGTGGACACTAACATATAATTTTATGTTCTAACTTTGGTATGTGACTTTTCATGTTGTCATGTATTCGCAAGCCCCCATATATTCCATCTCCTGGCTTTTTGTAGTCCATGATATCATTCTATAAAAATAACGTGAACAACTATTCGTGCATAGCATGCGCGGAAAAAATGGAAAATGGTTTTATTTCCTATAACCAGGATTAGGTATTCTAAGTACTTTCTCATGTGTTGATAGAGTCATCGTACATCATTTCACGTGATTTATGCAACGGGTGCACAGGACAATGGTAGAAATCCAAGGATCTTATCAATCAGTGCCTACTAAAAAGAGTAATAACGCATATCAAACGCGTTTTGGAAATTGGGTAACGATGCATTTCGAAAAAGTCACATACTTTAAATAAAAGTTATTATATTTCCAAAACATAATTAATGGTCCTTAATAAGTGCCTCAAAGGCACTCTGTGTGCTTGCATCTTGAGTGAATCGGAAACGATGTTCGAGTGATTCATATCCAACGATAAAAAGTGAGTAATCTCTACTGCTTGACACCAAAATTTAGATCATTGAAATTCCATTTTCATTTATTATATATATTTCAACTTAATATTGATTTACTTTTCATCGATGAACGTTAACGGATTTATAATCATTTTTTTGAAGAACTACGACTTGGTTGCTCACGTGGCTATGCAGCATGACGTGGATGTGAGGGATTGCACCATATCATCATAGGGTCAAAATGCGGACCAAGACTCGCACAAATCGATCGTATACGAGCCCAAAAAATTTTAGCGATTGAATGATGTGAGACTCACATGAGGCCATGTAATTTAACAACGAGACTCACCGGCTCTTATGTTCCTCCATATTTGCACTTGTCAGAAGAATTGATTAGGGGTGAGCACTAATCCAGGGTAAACCCCGGTATCGAATTGCACCAATCCGTACCGATCTTACCCAGCCAATTCTAGTCCGATTCCATGTTCCAAAAACTGGAAACCAGTTCCGACAGGATAAGTTCCAGCTTCCAGAGTTGGAACCTACCCATTCTGGACTGCTCACCCCTAACTTGCACACTAACTTGTCCGGCGAAAATTCTTGTACTTTCGAGATGATGCTTATATGTCCTGCAATACCGAAAGTCACAATCACTTTCCTGGCTGAATGGTGTGCTTTGCAGCTTCTGGCAGCATCTAATCTGTCCCCAACTTGGTGAATGCCAACACGTCGGGGAAATTTTTCAGGGACATGCATTATTTGATCTCCACCTCCTTCAAATAATTCAATTTTTTCAAGCTATTGATCAGCTCTCGACCCCTCCGCATTAAGGTAACCGAAGACGCCTTGTATTTTTTCCATCTTGCTTGAGTTGTTGCTTCTGACGAATGAGAATATATGCCGTTGCCTCAACTTTCATTTCGCTTGACTAAGCGATGAGTTGGACACTTCCCAATTGCTTTCTATTTCTGTTTGTTTCGTACCGCACTTCTCGTCGTCATGTCGCTCCACTATTTTGTCGCAACTTCTATCTGCCTCGATTAGGGGATGTTTTACTAGAATTCATCCTCTCAAGCAAAAAAAAAAAAATGGAAAAGAAAAGGAAGGAAATTGGCCGATTCCTAAGGGTCTGCATAGCAACGTTTCTGTTCCCAGAAATAATTTCTGATCAGAAATAGTTTTTTCTATTTCTATTTCTTGGAACAGTTTCTGAGCAAAAAATAGCGTTTAGTAACTGCACAAAATTTCTATTTTTGGAATAAAAAAAGAATAGAAACGCGTTTAGGGCGCGAATGATCCATTTCTATTCCATGGACGAGTTTCTCCCTTCTGGGCTACCGGCGGAGGACGGTGGTCGGTCGGCGGCGGTAGAGGATGGCGGCCGACGGCAGGAGGCAGTAGAGCACGGCGGTCAGCGGCAGAGCACGGTGGCGTCGGGCGGAGGTGACGGCAGCGGGGGTCGACGGTGGGAGGTGGCTGGCGGCGGAGAGTGGCCAGCGTTAGTCGATGGAGCACGGTGGCCGGTAGCGAAGGATGGCGGTCGATGGTGGGTGACCGCCGGTGTCGGGTGGTCAGCGGGGGAGGTGGCTAGCGGCCAAGGGTAGCCAGCGCCTGGTGGTGGCCGGCGTCGGGCGATGGAGCACAATGACTGGCGGCGGAGGATGGCGGCCAGTGGTAGGTGGCCGCCGGCGGCGGAGGACGGCGACCGGTGGTGGGTGATCGCCGGCGTCGGGTGGTTGGCGAGGGGAGGCGACCAGCGTTGGGTGGCGGCCGGCGTCGGGCGATGGAGCACGGCAGCCAGCGGTGGAGGACGGCAGCCGGTGGCGGGTGGCGACAATCGTCGAGCGGCGGAGGACAATGGTCAACGACAAGAGGCGGCCGAGAGACGGCCAGCGGGCGGGAGGCGGGCGGCGACGGAAGGCGGGCGGTAGGTGGCGACGAAGGATGGCGAGAGGCGGCGATGGGCGGGTTGCGGCCGATGGATTGTTTCTTGTTTTTAGAGGATTCCAGAAAAAATCGGTTCTTGTTTTGTTCCAGAAACAAAGAAGTAGATTTTTTTTTGCTTCTTATTTTTGTTCCGAATCTATTCCAGGATCACTTTTTTGTTCCAGAAACAAAAAAGTAGATTTTTTTTACTAAACGGATTTCTGCTCTTTTTCTGTTCGGGGGAACAAAAAGAACAGAAAAATAAAGAAACAGAAACGTTACTAAATAGAGCCCAAGTAGGCTCGGCTCCAGGGCCTACAGGGTAGAGGTCCCAGCCGCTCGCCCTTAGAATCGATTCCAATTTTATTTAAATAATTTAAAAATAATAAGAGAAATAAACAAAGAAAAGAGAATCCCCTAATTAGTAGTAATATCCCAATTGGATTGTCGGTCAAGAAAAGTGTTCCCTTTGCGAGGCGTAGACTGTAGCGTGAATTCAACAAAACACCTCCCCGGTTTCTCTCTCTGTCTGAAAACTACCAATATATAAAACCACAACCTTCTCCTCTTCTCCGCTGTCAGGTCAAAACCCAGTGTTGCTCTCTCTCTCTGCTGCTCACATTCTCTCTCTACCTCCTCCTCTTCTCTCTCTTCTTTCTGATCGGAAAGCGGCCGTTCGAGGAGGCGGAGATGGACCAGGTCAACGGCTCCGTCGTCGCCGCCGTCGGGGGTGGTGGTGGAGGTGGAGGAGGTGCGGGGGCCGTGGTGAGGCCGAAGACGAAGATCGTGTGCACCCTGGGGCCCGCGTCCAGGTCCGTGCCCATGCTCGAGAAGCTCCTGCGGGCCGGCATGAACGTCGCCCGCTTCAACTTCTCCCACGGCTCCCACGAGTACCACCAGGAGACCCTCGACAACCTCCGCCAGGCCATGGACATCACCGGCATCCTCTGCGCCGTCATGCTCGATACCAAGGTAAGCCCCCGCCCCCTCCCCCTCCCCCGCGCGCTGGATCCCCCGGGGCTCCCGTGTCTCGTGTGCTTTGGATTTCGATTTCCTGATTTTGTGAACTGCGGGATGAGGCTGTTTTTGGACGGTAAGTAGCGGTTGCGGATGGATTTATCGACTTTGATATGCATCTGGGTTTGGATTGGATGGGCCGAAGATCGCTGGAATATGCATGATTCGGTGTGTTGATTAGTTGTGTTGTGTTGTGCTGTGCTGTGCTGTGCTGTGGTGGTTGTCATGTTCCGGCAGCTTCTTTGTGCGCTAGTTCTGTAATTATGCTGGCCAAGATTCAAGTTGAAATCTGATCTGAACATGTGTGTGTACAGTTACGGTTGGAAAATCTAGATGACGACTGCTGTACTGATGGCCCCGTGAT